GTGCTAATGTGTGATAAGCTATAATGTAGAGTGATAGCAGTATAACTTGAATGGATCCTATTAAAATTATAATAACTGGTATCAAGGACTTGTATTATACATGCAGTTTGACAGCCAATAAAACGTAACAACGATAATCAACACAGTTCAGAAAATATTATTGACGTAGGCATATAACACAACAGAGTGTACCGTACTGTCACTAGATAAATTGTTCTGCTTTTGTAACCGCGGCTACCAATTTAACATTGTAATCTGATATACATCATAAACGTAGTCGTCTTCGTTATTATCATTATCATCACGATTAATTATATTATCATTTATAATTATACCACCATTACTATCATTATCACTACCACCATCTCCATCATTCCCCTCCATGTCACCATCGTACTATCGCCATCATTATTAACACTATCAGCATGTCTTCTTCACCGTTAATACCGTCGTCGTATTCAGCATTATCATCGTCATCATCCTTGTTATCATCATCATCTTTGGTATCATTATCATTATTTCTTTCACCTATTTCAGACTCACTTGATTTGATTATCAAGCATAACATTATAAGCAATACACAAAACTTAAATGTAGTACAAGACGATGTAAAGATATCATATTTGATCTTTTTTTTTTCATAGAAATGGTTTCAGAACAGAATTGCTTTGTGGAGAAAACAAGAAGGATTAGCACCATCCAGCGGATTTGTTGCCTAGGCTAGAGTGACTTGTAATAATCAGCCTAAACTTTCCGACAAAAAACGGGTGCTTGGCTTCTTAAAAGACTAAATATCACCTTTTGACAATCACTCTGTGCCTTATGAAATTGTCATATCTATATCTGGAAGTTTCATGTACCTCAAGTTTTAAGCAGTTTATGGTTAAACTGTAAGAGACGCGATTGTGTTCCATTCAGCAATAGGATTGGTATATGATGGCATATCACGGGGCCCCTAAAAGCTTGTGCCCTATGCTCTCTTCTCCTCCACTGGAAATCTGTTGAGCAAAAACATTATGCTCAAATAGCTTTAAAATCACTTAAAATCACCTTATTTTGTAATGATAATTCCCCCTCATTAACCATTGAGTCCTTTACATGTCTTCTCGCCCTTGCCCTACCATATATCAATACCCCTAATACTCCACTGAATGAGAAAGAGGAAACGTTTGGGAATGGGTGGACCGGGACAAGGGGAGAAATTCTGAGACGGAGTGGAGAGGTAAAACAGCAAAACACAAAAAAAAAAAAAAAAAAAAAAAAAAAGAAGAGTGATGATTCTTAAAATACAGGGTTGAGGCTAAAGCGTGGTTTTCATAAAATAGCTACACGCTATTGGTGAATGCTGACTGGTCGGTCGGACTATCTATTTGGGAGCGTTCCCGACTGCGTCGAGAGGACAGCTGAGCAAGGTACCTAATGATTGCTGTGGAAACATTGTACCGACATTATAGGGATTTTATGGAAACCAGGCTATACATTTAGGTAAATCTGGGTAATTTCAACACTTGTACGGCAACCTGCTTGCGGGGGTGGGGGTGGGGAAGTAGAAATTCCCAAAGGCAACAACGAAGTCTGAATTTAATTGAGGACGTTACTGTCTATAGTTTGAGTCACTAAAAACGTGTAATCCTAACTGGCGGATGAATATATCCGAGGAGCGGTGATGTTGCCATTAAATCAGGGTCCTGATTAAATTAACCGTTAGAAGCACAATTAATATTTAAAGGCTCTTCATGGCACATCTCTTTCATCTAAAAATCTCCGCCAATGAATTTATGGTGACACGTTCGTGTGAATCTGCGAACTTCAGAACATACGCACGTTACTAATGAATTGTAGAGTAAGCTATAAATAAATTATTATTATTATTATTATTATTATACATTAAATAATAATATGGATGAATACTGAATTTAAAAGTAAATTAATTAATTATATATATACAGAGAAAACAAACAATGCGTAGGCAGTAAAGTTGTGTGCTGTTGGCCTATTTGGTCAACGATAGTGGCCACGTGGACACACGTGTCACGTAGTACGAGTATCTTTGGTTACAATGTTTGTCGGTCAATAAATAGACCACTACTGACCCTAGTCATATTCAAGAAATAGGCCTATGTCTAGATTTTGTTAGATATTACAAATGATATTTGTGTAACGAATAAATTATTGTCTGACAAACAGCTGTAATGCTCCTCAATCTCAATCTGTACATTGTTTACAACACACAGAGAACATGGCGCAGCTGCTGCTACTGCTGTTGATGATGATGATGATGATGATGATGATGATGATGATGATGATGATGATGATGATGATGATGATGAAGATGATGATGATGATAAATGATGAAAATGATGATGGTGAAGATGATGCTGAGATGATGGTGATGATATTAATGATAATAATAGGCCTATCAATATAATTTTATAACAAATATTATTTTGAAAAAAGAATAGGTCTAATAGATTTAATTATAGGCCCTATTTATATTAATAATGATAATGTTCATAGTAAATGGGAGAGTATGTAAGAATACAATAACCATTAAAATATAATACACTTGTAGACATACAAAGCTGTAGGGCCTAAAAATTATCAAATTGGCCTATTAAATCGCCTCTACATAACGATAAATAATTATCAATTTACACGTGTATAAACTGGATCCAATGTCTGTACGATAGAAATTTAACACGTCCTCGAAATTAGTTTTATAAAATAAAATCACCATTTATAAAGCATTGCGATTGCGAATGAAATTTAAGCCAAGTTGTGTGGAATCGCTATACCGTAAAATATACAATAACAATGATGTCAATCAAGGGACTATGACTAGAGGATTAACTTACTTTTTAAAAATCAGTTTAGTGAACTTTAAATCCCTTAGAATATTTACCATTTACTTTAGCCTAGGCTATTTACTGCCGATCAGGTTCGGATTTAGGTATGGAGGGGGGGGGGGCTCCCGCCCCTCCCCTCTCCCTTTTTTTGGGAAGATACAAAAAATAAAAGAAAGAAAAAGAAATTATTGATCACCAAAAACGCCTCAAAGGTTATTTCTGGTGTTTGGAAAACAATAATTTTCAGAGGGCATGCCCGGACCCCTAGGGTAGTGTTGATCAGCCCCCTTTTGGACATCTCTGGATACACCCTTGCCGATTGTTTGATTTTAATGGCGAGTCGAGTGGCCGAGCGGTAAACCAGGGGCGCGCTACCAC